GATGACGACTCTTCTTCCATTTCATAAATTCCTATTTTTAACAAGAGAAAAGTAAGCCGATATTATTCAGTACAATGGTTCATGTCATACAGATCTCCTTTACTGGCACATTGCTGCTGGCACACAGGCCAGCTTCAGCAGTTTTAAGAAGGGTTTGGGTTTTTTTCACATATTGGTCTCGCTTATGGCAGTGCAAATTTCTTTGGAAATCTATGACAATCAATTAAGTAAAAAAGAGAAAATAGAATGCTCATTGTTAAGATAATCAAGCTACATGAAATCCAGCCTACTAGTGCTAGTATCTATATATCTCTAAGCTGTATATTAATTAAAACACCATGTAAGTGTTGCAATTAGACTCAGGCTGCTGTGGTGAAAATGAGAGAAAAATGAAAATGATTGGAGGGGTTTTTAATGTACGTGAAACTCTTAGTTGTTTTAAAGCATCTCGTGATTTGTAAGATTGCTGTGCTGCGCAGACTCTCCTGTGATGCCTGAGGACTCTGTAGCAGGCTTCAGCTGCTTCTGAAACAGGTGACCCAAAGAAAATACACTTTGGTTTCCAACAGCTATGTTTCTTCTCAGGGCGGTGTGGTATTTTCCCATAAATTTCATAAATGATTTTGGGTTACTGAGCTCTGACACCAGTGGTCAAAGAGGTTAGATGTTTCATTTGACATAGGAAACTGCAAAGGGGAGAATGGAGAGAGAGAAATTATTCTGACTAGTGCTTACAATAAAAGGGACTCTGTCCTGCTTTTGTTGTTTTCTTTTGTGTTTTTATTTTAATGTGAGGTCTCTAAGGTCTCCCAGGCTTTCCTACTGGATAAAAGAACATCTTAATATATTTGTATTGGGAGGTGAACACTACGTAAGACTAATTAGATTATCTAAGTGTATTCAGATTGTGCTCCTTCATTTCTTTCCTGGTGCTATTGGAGGGCTTGGGAAGCAAAAGGCTCTGTCAGGGTGAGCGCGTGGCTCTAGGAGGCTGGGGAAGGACCCCTTCCCTCTGCGTGGGTACCCTCCCGGCAATCACGCAGCAACTTCAAAGTGGGTTTACTGTGTCTTTCTGAGATGTGGGGTTTGGGACGTTTGTGCTTTCTCTTTTCCTCCTGTGTGTAGCTTCTGGTGGCTGCAAGCTATACACGTTAAGGTACCACGGAGGTAGCGGAAGAATTATGTTGCAGGGCCAACGGAGTCAGCCAGCTTCACCACCTTTATAATTGCCAAACTTCAGTCTCGTTAGCTGGGGATGCCAAAGCAGCTGAATAGGGCAAAACAAATGATGAATCCATCTGCTAATTTGGCAGATATTGCCATGGCTATTTTAAGATTAAGTCTTTGGAATCAGATGAAGTAGTACACCTGATCAGTGTGGGCATCAGCGTGATGAAGCTGTTGCACAAATAATGAATAAAAGTAATATTTTGGTTGTGTTTTTTCCAATTATTTTTTAAAAAGCTGTTTTTGCAGCACAATATTCTTCCTCATCACAAATGAGTGTGTTCACTGGTATTGTGTTTTCAGGTAATACCATTTACATTTCTAGAAAGAAGCCAAGGAGAAAACTGTACAGGACACCTTCAATTTTTCATTTGACTTTGTTCTTAATTTTTTTTATTATTTCACATTGATACAAAAAAATAGTATCTTGATTAGCAGCTTTGCTGGCAATCCCACAAAACTGTAAATAATACTTTAATCTAAAAGAATGCACTCCTACAGACACTATAGATAAAACAATATATACAATTTAGACAAATAAATACATAAGTACAGCCAGTCATATATATACTGATACACCTAAAGTTTGGTTACTGTTGACAAGCTTTTCTAGTTAATTACGCTCTTCATTTACAAATTGCCATTGCCATCTACATTATAAAGACCAAAAAAATCCCAATAAAGAATCAAAATGGATACTTAACATTATTATTAGGAAAGATGGAAAATGAATCTTGAGACGTTCGTTTAAATACTCTCACAATTTTAGCAAAAAAAAGTTTTTGTGAAAAACTCCTCCTAAAGCGAGGCATTTCCCCCTAGCTTCTTTGCTCAATATGCTTTGTTTGTGTATGTTTTGGAATCGAAATGTGATTATAGCCACACCTTTGAAGTGACTAGAAGCTAGCACGTCTTAACCAAGTTGTCATTTGTCCCATGTCTAGTGAAAAAAAATGACATTTAAGTAATATAAATATTTCTTTTGATTAAAGGAAGCCCAGTGCAAACACTTGTTTGTTAACAGTACCCGATGTGGCACAAATACTGCTGGGTGGAAGGGACAGTAAGCTGTCCCTGCAAGTAGATGTATTGCTCCCTTTCTAGCTCCAGGTTGCAATGCTGCAATTTCTGAGCAAAGAGAAAATAATACATCTGTTATGTAAGTTAACAAGCTAGTCGAGTCTAGTATCAGAAAATTAATAGAAATAGAAAATTAGGCTTCTGTTGTGTTCTCTTAAATTCACTTGACAATAAAAGAAAAAAAATCTTGTACATTCAAAAGTTAGGGCACACATGCTTAAGGCTCTTGAAACACTGGACAAATATAATGCCTAGCTCAGCTCCATGCATAACAGAATACTACGTAGCAAGCAGACTCTACACATATATACAGCTGAATACAGAAGAAAATGCCTTAGAAATATGTACATCAGTTCCAAGATGAACATTTACATTTCTATCGAACATCTATCTATTTATAAGTGGCAGGAAATACATTTTTTTCAGATACTATTTTCAAGGTGTACCTTCCAATCGTTAATGCAGTCTCTTTGTACTAGGAGAAATTCAAGGCTACCATGCTACTCGAGCCCTGAGATATCCGGATTGGGAGCCCTGCTGTCCTCTTGGTTACTAACCAAAGGCTGCAGAAGCATCAGCAGGAGAAGTAAGGCCACCAAATCCATTTGATTGTGGATTCAGAAACCCCAGATTACTGCACGGTGCAGGGGCATAGCAGAAGTGATTGCAGCCTGTGGGTTGAAATTATTATAAAGTGTGTTCTTGGTAGGATGGTGTCCATGCTGTCTGATTTACCCAAGGGCTGGGGATGAATTCTACCCTCGTTTCCCTTCCTAAACCATGTATTCTGGGGCTTAGGTAAGGAAAGATGAACTTCACCCAATCAGTGTGTGTGTTATATATTCATCTATGCAGTTAGTTGGACCTTGTTTAGCTAGAGTTCTGAGTTTGACAGGAAGCAAGAGCAACTTTAACAAGGACTAGGTCAACTAGGGAAGGATAAATCTTAATTATGCTGCAAGAGATTCAGTATTTTTATATAAAATTACCAATTTTCATTTATGAAGGATGCACAAGCTCCTGTTGATCAGCAGTAACTGCTGGGCTATCTGTTGTGTAGTTTTACCTTTTGATCTGAAGTAGATTTGTTTGAGACGCCTACTACTGCCTGTGGCTTGAAGGCCAGGTATGGTTCGCCTCGTTTACAAGTAGTTCCTTTCAAAATAATATAGTGCTGCATCTGTGAATAAGACTAACAATTTGTCATGAAACAGCAAAACTTTTGGTGTAGCATCTTTGTTCCTCTGTTGCTGTTGTAAAGTGCTATGTACACCTATGGCAAAATTGGGTCAGAGTTTTCCTTTACACTCTTGCTCAGTTGATTTCTGACAATTTTATAGACATGCTGAATTACATAGAGACTTAACAGTTCTTCATATGTTACATATAACACCAGCTGAAATGAAATGAATTTGTGTGCTGTGGATGGTGTGAGTAATCTATGCTAATAATACATTTGGTGAGTTTTGTATCTTTGTAACTTGTCTGTGAATTCTTTGTTCCAAGTTATTAGCTGAGCAATGTCATATTTTAGCTCTTTGCCAGAACGTAGTGCTGAATAGAGATGGCCTGAATTTATTGGAGAATTTTCCAGGAAATAATTTTCATGACATTTCATTAGCGTTCATATTCAAAACACATAAGCACATTATGAAACTTGAATAAAACATTGTGCGTGTGTGATTTCTGTCACATGCTCTGGGGGTCTCTCGAATAGGACCTCAGTGAGTATTGGCTCTGTGATGAGTACCCTGGGAGCTGCAGATTTTTAACAAAGGCTATAGTTTGTTTTTCTTTAATAGGTGATTCTTAAAAGCCCTCTATTTTGCTGTGAAAGTTGTATACAACTGTTGTGTACTCTGCCCAATCAACAGAAAATTGATTGCATTCTTTTATTGGACAATATTCTACTCTTCTACACCATGAAAAATCTGCTAGAATTTCATTCGTATACATATGTAGCAAAAAGTAGAGCTCACCCTTAAAAAGCTGCTTCTGCATTACTTTTTTTTTAGGTAAATAGTGTACTGACGTTGAAGAAATATGCTGCTTATTGACAATTTTATCATTCAATGTAATGATATATTGCTGTGCAAGACACTTATTGGAGAGATCCACTGATACTGAGAAACATTGCACTTGCTTTGAAATTAAAAGTTAAAAGATATTGATACTTTTATCATTAATTTTTAAGATAGCTTTTCATACATCTCTCCTGTGTTATTTCACCTACAGATTCTACTTCATTTTAAAATTGTATTAGATCTTTTAGGGGCTACTTTAGGTAGTGGAAAGAAATGGGGTGTCTTCTGAAATAATCTAAAGGAATACCATTTGGTGGTATATACTTCCGTGTGTGGGTTTGTTTCTAAGGCCTATAAGACTTCAATGTTCTTACCTGTCTAAACTCTGCTATTATACCATTAGTAAGCTGTTTGAGAATCGCACACATCGTACTATAAAATATACATGTCAAGATAGGTATATAAGGTCAGTGCAAATGTATACTGCTCAATTTATTAACAAACCTCTAAATAGAGATGGTTGTAGGGTGTCAAAAAAGGCATAAAAGCATATTTGCAATTCTTCATTTCTTAGGGCCTGAGTCTTCTCTCAGAGGCTGGGGCATGAACTGTTAAGCAGCTCATGATAGTTTATTATTGTCCTTTTACGTACAGATGCAGGAGCTGATATGTGTGATAGAAGATAATATACAAAATCTGAGACTGGACTCTAGATCCTTTCGCTTGGTGTAATGTCCTTATGAAAAGAGCCTGAAGTCTGTAAACCAGTAGTCAAAATGAGAATGAAAAATCAGTTATTAAAAATCCTTTCACAGTTAATATCCCACAGTTTAACCTGTAAATCAGCAGATCACTTTGTCAAAAAATAACCACGCTAAATCAAAATCTTAAAAAAAAGGTATTTACATCTGTAAAAATCTTAACATCTAAGATGTTTCTTGCTGGACATGTCATTCCAAATTCTGTGCATTTCTTCTGGTGTTATCTGGTGCACTGTGATCACCCTGCGGTACCTGCACAAGCTGTAAGCCATTTTCCAGTGATTGAAGCCACTGTTTTGGAAGGGGTGAATGCCCAGCTTCCGAAGACAGAGTCCAACATACACATCTTCAAGATGAAGAAGTCTGGTATGAAGGGAAGTTTTGTAAATCAGTTCCGCTACGTCAGCTGAAAATATGTAGCCGGTGCCTGAACAGAAGGGTGGATAATTGCTGTCAGGATACAAATCTCTCGGCATGTACCACTTGCTGCGAACATCTCGTATTGGTCCTCCGTTTATAACGTAACCTGTGAAGTACCTTCTCCTTGGCTTGGTGTTAGGTTTGAGCAGCTTATAAATAAGATTATCCATATTCACAAAAATATCACTGTCTGTCTTCATGACGTACTTTGCTTTTGAACAAAATGTTGCTACCCACCGCATCCCCATCAATGTTTTCAGAGTGAGGTTATGATAGGAGTCGATAAAATCCTCCACAATAATGTCATGAAAAATTTGGCTTTCTTGCTCTACCATTTGATTTAATACAGGATCTGCGTTTTTTCCGAGAAGAAATAGTGTGGCGATTTTAATTCCTTTAAAGTTGTTTTCGTCTCCCCACGTTTCTCGAATGGCTTGCCTCGCATCAAACTCTTTGTGAGTTGTGCTGATAAGAATGACCAAGAAAGGGACACTCTTCTCGCATTTGTTGGGTTCATTGATAAGAAAGTCAAAGGAATGTGGATTTATAGGTCGAGTTCTTATGTTGCCAAAGGAAACGTTTTTTCTGGCTATAGATATGCTACTGACCTGTCTGTGGCCAGTGTAGGAAGAAGTAGGGCGAGTTATACTTAAGTACCAGAGAGCACTTGCCCAACAAACTACTGTCAAAACATATAAGCATGAGACCTTTGAAGCCATTGTTCCTCTAGCTCTTCTATTCCGTATGATGAATAAATAGCCTTCGTACCATGAGCGCACCTATGTCCCAGAAAGGCAGCATATTATTAATGAAACTTGAAAGTTCGATATAGAAAAGTAACTCTGTAATCATTCATGGATCTCAGATAGGAGCTATTAACCCTGGTGGTACTCAGCTTTTCTTCTTTTACTAGCAGCAGTTTCCATTTCTTGGAATTTTCTGTTATTTCTGAAAAATATGAAGAAAAATTTTCCATTGCTAGATCATAAAAGCCTAGGGCAAGTAAAATTAGCTTAAATATGACTGACCATTAATAAGCTAAGTGTCTTAATGCATTTCTTGAATATGTGGGTTGTTGGTTTTTTCTCATGAAGTACCACAATGCAAGATAGTGTACTAGATTATAGCACTGTAACTGAAGTAATGCTTTTATGATTGATAATTTCTCGTAGATGATGATATAAAAAAAAATGTTAAGCATGCCTAGCATGTTGGCAATTTAGGTAATTTTAAAGGTATATGAAAATAGTTTTCTGGTTTCTAGTGTTTCTTGCTTTCTAGCATTTTTTCTGGACAATCTTTCAAAATATAACATGGAACATTTTAAAATTATTTAAAGAATGAAAATGTACTTTATCTTAGGATTAATAGCATCGGTGGCAACCATGCGCATGAATACCTACAAATCCCATTTGGTCTAAATGTTGTTAATGTCTGCCCAGCTAACAAGAGCGTGCTTTGGTGAAAATCAGATAGAATGGGATTCATTGGTAAAGGTACAGGAGAGAGAGAGAGATACATACGTATGCTGTCTTACCCATGTAAACTTCAGCGCTCCAGTAGACTCCAGAGAAGTCTAGAAATAAATTAACACAGTTCCGTTATTCTTGTTGGTTTTCTTCTCCTCTCCCCACAAATCAGTCTGTACTTCTCATGAGCATACATCATTTGTATACCACACGAGATAAATCACGATGGCAGCCTATTAACAGTGTCACTTTGCTGGCCGGCGTGCAGAGCACTTTCCTACCCGGCCAGGGTTCCTGCACTGACAGCCCTTCCCTGCTGCTGCACCAGTCCTGCCTCCGGCACTGGGGAGCTTTGAGGCTTCCCTGGATCTGGGGAATGTGCCAGCCCTGAAGCTTCCTTTGCTCTTAGCATGTGCCTGGGAACCAGTTCTGTTTATCATCATTTCATGGAAATGAGACAAGTTGCATTAAGCTTGCTGGATTGGTGCTGATTCCTCCAAGGCACACCAGTAGCTGGAGAGTGCCTGTAGGCTCCATATTCCTGGGTTTTGATATTGCTTCAGAGCTAAAGGATAGTACAAGCATGCAACAGATGAGCTTTACGCTACAGCCTTTGAAATATTTATTATTTACTTTGGATAGAACAAAACATATACAGATTCAGATAAAAGATGGAAGCCCTGTCTTAGAAACATTCTTTCAGTTTCCCTGCTGCTTTGACACGTTGCTTGAATTACTTTTAAATGCTTTTTAAGGACCTTCCCTCACATTGGATGGGGAGGCTCCTTAAATGGTCTCTTTTTCTCTTCTGCGAAAGCAGATGAGAGTGTGGCCCTGGAGGGCAGCCCCGTGGCAAGGTCCCCTGCCAGGTGACCTGTTGCTGAGGGTTTGTGCAGACAGACCCCCCCCCCGCCCCGGCCAGAGTTAGATGACTGTTGGGGTGTGTCGCTGTTCCTCACCGAGGTGTAAAACCACCAAAAAACCAATCTGAATGTTGGCTAAATATATACAGACTATATTATTCTTATAGATTCTTATAGCTAGCACTGTCCTGCTAGTCTTCATTACATGCACTTTTAGCTATTTAATGACCAGAACCCACATACCCCTCTCCCCTTCCGTGAAATAGGAAAATGTGAATTTGTGGTCTGTTTCAGAGCTTCTTCATTTTCAATTGGTTTTGCCCTATAACTGAGGCAATTAAATGAGGTGGATGTTGACTCTGATCTCCTTTGCTACTTGTCACAGGACTTGGGGTTTGCAATCTTTTTCCACCGAGCAGTAGCAGTAAATATTTGCGACCAGAATATTTGAGTCTTTTAATTGCCCCATAGGGCTGCGGAACGCCATGATCTTGGCGCGTATGTACATCCTTGTAAATAAATACAGTTGTAACAAAAATACTTGCTACTCTAAAGTCTGGAGCTCTGTCCTGCTGTAACAACCTGCTGGGGTCACTGGGACACAGTTCTGAGAAAGGTAAAACACATCCCTGATCTGGTAGGTTGGGTTTTCTTTTTGGCTTTGTTGTGAATCTCTGATAACCACCCCCACTGGAAACCACAGCGGGGAAAAACACCAAGCGCAAATTGCCATAACCTAACGAAAACATAAGAGTGTAAGATCTAGAAGACTGTGTTAATAAAGAAATACAGCAGTCATGGATTGGAGATGTAGAGTGAGAGCTATGTAGGTCAGTGTAGTTAATGGACTCCAGCATTAAGGTTTCACAAATACTTCTAATGTTCTGCATATGATGAATTATTTTAGGAAACTACATATTGCATTCTCTAAATGTGTATATTTTTCCACATCTTTTTTTTTAATAAAGGCAGGCACATTAGTTACCGTGAATACTGTGCCGATATCTAAAGGAAAGGAAAATTGTAACCAGTGTTTCTTACAAACTGCAAAATTACATAAAATAGCTTTTCAGTCCAGCAATGTCATGGTTGTGATGTCCACTCTTGTGCATTCTGTAAGGCTTAGAAGCGACAAAAGCCTCACACTGTTTTGAAGAAAGATGCCAAACTACTGTAGGGAGTTTTTTTGCTCAGTTATGAAATCTATAGATAACTCTCTGTCCAGGATGAATATTTCTTATATTGGGCCTTGGATTGCTCTCTCTTGAAATAAGTTTATTTTTTTTCTGTTTTGTGTTTTGATTTTTTGTTTGTTTTGCTTTTTTAAAGAAAAATGAGTTTAGATGTTGCCAAATTCTGTTGTTAAAGACGATGCTAGTTAATCAAGGATCTAAACAAGTGCCTAACTCAGACCTTCCTAGAATTACTCTGTGTTGAAGGTATCTTGCAAAATTATTCACAGTATCAAAGTCTGTGACAGCAAACCTTTTCCTTGTTATGTGTTGTGATCTGAAACTAAACTCCACAGCCATGCAATATTGGGGGACTTGTATATCAAGGATGTGAATTACAAGAAATTAAATCCTTTTAATTAATATTTTCAAATTATAGTCAGTTAAAACTTTTGTGTTAATTAGTCTTTTGGAAAAGAGAAGGAATAAAGTATGTCAACTAAGGTCACTACTTTCATCTAAGTAACAACCAAAAGCACTTCAATGCCTGCCTTGTTATTGTGGTTCCTTTAGCAGTTTACCCAGAAGTTCTTCAGAACATTTTTACCCTAGTTGGTAATACATATATGAAAAGCTGCCTTAAATATTAAAATGTGTAGCACACTCATTAATATATTGTGTTTATAGTCCTGATAGTGGATTTAGTATATTGTCACTATAAGGATGATCTTGTTTGTTTGTCTGGTTTTTTTGTTTTGCCATGATGTTCTTGAATTTGGTGCTGAAATTTGAAGACACTCTAACAGCAAGGTATGGGTTATCACAGAGAGCAGAAAGCTTTTATCAGCTTTGGATTTGTCGGGATAGGGTACGTCATGTTTGGGGACATTGGCGCAGACAAAGGGAAGTGTTATCTCTGTTCCTCTGTTCTGTGGGGTGAAAGCAAGCTTTTTAGCAGGGCAGCAGCAGTGTTAATCTCGTGGATCCTTGTTTTTAATAATGTTTTAACTTTTCCTAACCTGGTTCTCATACTGTTAGTAATCAAAGGCTCATGCTTTCTAGAGTAGATGATTATAAAAAGCAAATGTTTAACATCATGTTTCTGTATTGTGACTTGAAGTTGTGTGCTTAGTGGCACTATTCCCAGCTCCTACTGCGCAAGGCTGAGAAGCCACCCAGTCGGAGCACAGAAGCTGTACTGTGTAACTTCTGTAAGTAATTGACCTGATGGTGACTGCGAGTATTCGCAGCAAATCTTTTATGAGCTGACTGCACATCAAGAACAATCTTCTGGATAACGAGTGGATTTGAGAATCTTGCTAACTGTTCACAGGCAATTTTCAGGCAGATGTCAAGTGAGTTTAGCAAACATTACTTGCCAACTGCAATATTTCATCGATATTTTGGAATGCTGGTTGCTGTCTCTGCTGAGAGGTTGTTGATCTTTTTCTTTCAAGAAAGCCCATCCTCTGTAAGTGTAGTTGCATTAATGTAACTAGATCACAGTGGATGTACGTGATAGAAACCACAGTTCTTGAAGCCTGGCGTATTGCCATAGTTGTAATCCATATCTGCTGCTGAGGCATAATGTAGGTGCTGAGTGGGGGCAGTCATGATGCTGAGTCCCAGGGATGACCCCGGGTGAGAAGCCAAGGGAGGCCGCAGCTGCTCATCCTGACATGCCGGAGCCTGTTAGGCAGAGCACTACTGAGTCAAATTAACAGCGTGCATCTTTGCCAAAATGTACCTATTCCTCTCCCTAGGAAAAAAAAAAAAAAAAAGAGGGAATGTAGCTGCTAAATTATTTAGTAAATGTAGCGCACACTTCTCATTTTCCCTGAAGAGAGATTTTTGTAAGAGTTTTCTATGATCATAGCTTTCATCTGTATATAGACCGAGACACTGAAATGTCTTCACTGTTTATGAAGTCCTTAAATTACTGAAGGAAAAGTCTGTGATTATTACAGAGTCTTATTGAGAAGACAATTATCCTGAACATCAAGAACACATCTACAAAGAAATCTGGGGATGCTGTTATGTTCTTGGCTGTATGTTTTCATAGTAATTTCTTGAGGAAATTCTGGACAGATGGCATAGGTGATTTAACAAAAGATTGCAAGCTCCTCTTTGGCAACTTCGTTTGAAGGTTCTTAAATATTCTAAATGCTTTTGCTGTGCCTGGGTGTAATGGCCATTAAACCACATCAGTGCTGCA